GGGGGGGGGGGGGGGGGGGGGGGAGTCCCATATAAACCTACAAAATCTTAATGCATAACTAGAAATAAATATCAATTAACAAACCATTATCTCAAAATCACTGCACACATGCATTAAATGCATGCCCAGCAACAAAGAATTTCAATCTAGATTGTAAAAAATAAGAAACCAGATTGAAGAAACTGACGAAAGAGAGAAAGGGAGGCCACATACTTTAAATGCAATATCTCCTGGAGACATTGCCAGTCCAGCACCCATTGATTCAAATGCACCCCGACCTCGATAGTAAACCCTAGGGTCATAACCCAATAAGGAAAGATGGGCAGTATCACTTCCACAGGCCAAGCCTACTTCAACGGGATCCATCAGACCATTTATTCCAGCTGAAGCAATCGCATCCAAATTAGGCGTGTTGGCTACTTGCAACGGGGTTTTATAACCAAATTTTGGCAGTGATACATCCCCCAAACCATCTATCAGCACAAAAGCCACCCTTCTCTTTGGTTTCTCAGAATTAACCATTCTTCAGTATGATAGCTAGAAAACTTGATTATTTTGATCATAGAAATTTGAATATTAGTTCATGTGATCAGATGGATTACAGAAATGTTTTAATGACTTATATCCTCCTATTGGAACACATTGATAGTAAAATATATAGCTTTATTTTGATTTCCAACAAGATCTGAGCTAAGAAGAGAACATATGGAACCATATTTTACAAGCAGTGTTGTTAATAAATCTTTCTCATTTAATTCATTTCTTTCTGATTTGATCATTTGAATAATTGAAATATGCTTCAGAAGGAACCATTTTTACTAATCTTATCACAGCAATTATAATAGAACGTCAAAACTCTTTTTGCAAAACCATTATTTCCTTCTGTTTTCTTTAAGATTCAAAAATACTAATACATAAAAGGAATACTCCATACATTGCAGGAAAAGAATAATTGGAAAAACGGCATAGAATATCACACAATTTATGAAGTCCATACACAAGACAATTTACTAAATTCAGTAAGAAATAAATGCCCATCGTGAACCTAGACTTAAGCCAAACCGAGTGCTTCCAGATTTAAATTACCCATGAACATAGAAATTCCTCTAACAAAAAGCAAAGCAACATTATGCATCAAATCAACAAGATTTTGATATCAGTAAGAGTATTAAAGCGAGTAAGCAAAATCCATCAGGGAAAGAAAAGAAGCGGCAATATACTCTTATTAATCTGAATCATTGTACTGATTACATCATCCAGAATTCATTAAGAAATCCCACTTATAAACGATTTAATTTGGTGAAGCTTCAACGAGAATTTAGAAAATGATACAAATACAGGACGCAACCAACCTACATAACATTAAACGACGTCCCGATTATAACAGGCCAATGTTACCTGCGATTATTTTGACAAAACTTGGAATTGGTATTTGGAATCCAAAAGCAGAGAAGAGGAAGAAATGCAGTTTCCGGTTCCTTGGTTGGAGTGCTAAATTCTGTGCTGAATCGCTGACAGTAGTACCGTTGTTCTTACACAGGTTTTTGGTCCCCATTAGGCAAAAAGTGGGGAAAATCTAATATTAAGAGGTTGAACCCCAACCTTGAAGCCTCACCCGCTGATCAAACATCGTGTAGGAAGTAAATCACGAG